CTACTAATCAATTTACTCTTTTTCCTTTCATCATGAACTTGACATTTTTCCACATTCCCAATAATTAATCTCGATTTTAAATAATAATCCATTGAAGCATGAAACGGGTAATAAATCCATTTTCACAAATTACTATCTAAAATAACTCTATCGATTTCATACCAATTAACATTTATTCTTAAACAACTCATAATCAATTGATCCACTAGCAACTCCTCTTTCTATAAGCTTTTAGCGGTCAATATACTTATCGTTTATTCATTTATTCTTTCTCAAATTAACCATACTTTAAACACTTTAATGCTTCACTTTAGTATTTCTCAAAGGCTGAAACGTTGTTAAACGTTGGGGCATTCCTTCCACAGAATGAAGGAAAATCCCTAGCAGCTTTTACTCTTCTAAGACATAATACTGAAGTCATGTCAGATTCTCTTGGGTCGATTGTGATCTCGACCTTCTTTTCAATATTATCAACTTTCTTAGTTTTGTCCTTAGTTTCCGACATCTATTAGAACATACCTAATAATAACACTCAAGTTAAGGAGTGATATCAATCACACTCTAATTGACACCCTATCAATAACTTTGACAATCTTAATGGCATGTAATCCTTTTTCTCAATTCAATTAAACTTGGTTTTGGCCGAGAATTGGCTAAATCTGTAGCTCTGATACCAATAAATGTAACACTCATATACCATATACCTTTATATACACGAGATATAGATGTCACATCACTTTTAAAACAAATTATCTTTTGAAAACCCTTAAAACTTTATTTCAAAATTTAAGTTAAAACATTTTATCACAATCATAAAACAATCATCGCAATATACTACCAAAATTTCCCTTTGTATATACATTCCAGAGCATTTTTTCTTTAAATTCGATTACATGCCATCAATTATTCAAAATAAACAATGATTGTCCTACCGTTACTGATGAGAGTTAACCTTAGCTTTATGGTATATGCTACTGCACCCCGTATCCAACTAGTCTTTGCTTTTACCTACGCGTGAAATCAACACATGTTAAGTATTTACTTAGTGAGGTATACTATTATAAAGAAACATAAATTTATATAAATGTATCTCGTGACTATTAAATGACGAATTAAATCGCATAATTCTATAAGGATCAAATAACTCATTCCCAGTGCAATGTGCAATCAAGTTTCTTCTATACACTCATCGAATTTATTCTTAGTAAGTCCAACCTACCTATCCTTACATATACTCTTTTCAATCATTCTTTATTTGGCCTATGTACGTTAAATGAGAAAGTATTACACATGTATTGCGCCAAAGTGCCAATTAGTCCTTTATCTTTTATACTGATCATGAGTGACACCTTATACAACATTAATATATCGTTATGTATTTTCATTTGTGGCATCATTTCATGTCAATTAGCACAAGTAAGCAATTAGTCCTTCACCCAACTTACATTATTGGCATCTTTCTACCAAATACACCGTTAGAGATTTTGTCTTTTACCCAAATATATTTAATCTTTCATATAACTGGTATGATTGTCACCTTTCTGCCAAATACACAGCTAGGCATTTAGTTCTTTTAACTCAAAAGCATTTAGCCTTTCATCTAATTGGCAGGATTGACACCTTTCTGTCAATGCACAACTAGGCCATTAATCTATTTCATTTTAAAATTCTATAGTTTACACCTGTGGTACCAAAGAAGTCAGTCCCCAAACATTATTATAATTTACATAGATTGTACACCCACTACCAACATGGAAATTCATAAACTTATTATGATTTTTTTAGTTTTTGAACTAGTTCGTATCATCCATAAGGATTAAGTAAGTCCCTATGATTGAAACCAACTTCTTTTATACTATTATCATATACATCCTTAGTATGTCCAACATACATTTCTTTCTTATACGTTTTTCTTTTCGTTTTTCTTTAGTAATTATTAGTTAGTTTCATATATGACATCCTTAGTGCTAATGTGGTAATTTACCAAATTTCTATTCATTTCATTATTAAGATGCACCCATAGTTCTTATATGGTTATTCATCAACTCGTGATGAATTTCGTGGATTTGCACACATAGTGCCATGTACGGTTATTCATCAACTCATGACGAATTCTGTGGTTTTGTACACATAGTGCCATGTACGGTTATTCATCAACTCATGATGAATTCCTTGGTTTTACACACATAGTGCCCTGTACGGTTATTCATCAACTCATGATGAATTCTGTGGTTTTGCATACATAGTGCCCTGTACGGTTATTCATCAACTCATGATGAATTTCGTGGTTTTGCACATATAATGCCCTGTACAGTTATTCATCAACTCATGATGAATTCTGTGGTTTTGCACACATAGTACCCTGTACTAGTATAACATATAGAGGTACATAATAAATGCACTCACCTAACTTTCTTCGCTAAGTATCCAAAACATAAGGCTGATTATTTTTGTGCTTTGCCTTTATCATTAATTTTGCTTGTCTCAGGAGCTTGGTTCCAATCTACTCAAGCATCCATTAAAACATGTATCATACCCAATGTTAGTATATTTCCTAACCATTACACTTTAAAATATTCAAAATATCATTATCTCAATTTCTATAACAATTTCAGTCTAATTGGTTGTTACAAGTTCAATAGTATCGATACTAATACCATGGTACCAATACCCCTTTTGGTATCGATACCCATTTTAAGTTCGATGTTACCTGGTATCGATACCAATTTTACATTCGATGTTTCTTGGTATCGATACCCTTACCATGATATCGATACTACCTCGCTGGTATCGATACTGATTGAATCAGTATCGATACTACTTAGCTATTTCATCCCATTTTAGCCTATAATATCAGTACTGTTCTATCAGTATCGATACCCTTGCCCAGATTTTCCAGTTTTTACCCCGATTATTACACAAATGAAGTCAATTTTCGTTAGGACTAACTCTCATAATGCTACTAAACTCTCCATTACTTATACATATTAACTTTCCCTCATTTAGTTACTTAAAACATCTAGCATCATTCAATATCATTTGATTCTAAGAATCACACCACATTTTCTAACTTGTTCTTAAACATGTCCATTGCTTCTAATCTCTCATTTGCCTCTTTGACAAGTTAAAACCACTAGCAAACATCAATAAACACTCATATTTTAACATATAATTTCAAAACCCATTTTCTATAATCTCCATTATTTCCCTTATCTCATAGTTTTAATCTCATCTAATCCTTCCTTAAACTTCTATTATGCTCAAAGCTTCAATAACTAACTAAAAAAATATAAGGATAAACCATCAAATTGAAATCTCACCTTTGTTATAGGGGAGGGCTTTTCCCACGGGGAAAAAGAAGAAAAGCGAGAAAGAGATGGCTTTTGATAACTTCTCTTTCCCCTTTCCCCTTTTTTCTTTTATATCTTACTACAAATGAATTTTAAATTCATTTACCCCTAAAAGGACCAAAATACCCTCTTAATTCATCTTTTGATACAATTTAGTTAAACACCCTATTCCAAATCATTTTCTCATCTTTTACCATTTATTCAATTAAATCTTCAAATTTCCAATCTTTTCAACATAACCCCTAACCTGATATTTGGGATATTACAACTCATCTCGGGCTCACTATCATGTCTCAATTGCTCACCCCCAATTCTTTTCTAACCTATCGTCACTCACTCTGCAAACAATAAATTAAAATTCCAAAACCATACCCTTTCTTTAACCACTAAAGTTAAACAATAAATTCATAATATATATTTTTAATATAATGGAAATCATAAAAACTAGATACCAGGTAATTAATATTTAATACACAGAATAAACTGGCAACATAAGCATTTAGATTTAGATCTCCTTTCAAAATTCAAAAGTTGATTAAACCTTGCACGTTTTTTTTATCATCCTAAACCATAAGGAAACTGTTAATTCGATTTCATTTGTATCCCGAAGAATCATACAAAATTAAATAATTAAATTAAATTAGTTTTAACTTTTTAATTATAAATATGATTTCCTCTATCTTATTTAATGGCCTAACCGTCATTTATCTCAAAATAATAATAAAAATTCGTATTTAAAAGAATAAATCTTCAATCAATACTCATTTTCATTTTATTTTTGCAATAGTTTACAATAATCATAACATATTTTTTAAAAAGAATAAACTTTTGATCATCGATAATACACACAAGTTCTACCAATGTTATTATTCAAATTAAATTTTTTTAGGAAGAATACTGTCGAAAATACTCAATTGGATTTACTCTCCCATTTTATCTATAGGAACGATGAATCTATCCATTATCTAAAATCACATAGAATATAAATCTAATATACTTAAATTCATAATATTTTTAATATTTATATATAAATAAAAATATATAGTCTGAGTATCCTATAAAAATATACAAATTGATTTAACTTGTATAATAAATTCTATAAGGATAGCTGGATCGATTGGTTAATTTTTTTTCTCTAAAATTATATTTGACATAACATTTTTTTTGAAGTAACATAACATTTATTAAATTTAAAAAAGTAATACATTAATTGTATTATAAACGCAATCTCAGTCTGTATCTATGGAGATTCAATCTTAAAAATATTCATCATACCCTGTTTGAAACCGAGAGAAGATAAAGATATTGTGCAGAATCAATGACAGCAGAGGGATACTGAGCCACAAATCATTATAGAAAAGAAGATACGGAAACTGAAGGATCTTTCTTCTTCACCTACCAGAAGAGAAGTTTCAGCATATTGTTTTTGGACTATTTACAGACAAAACAGTTGTTGGTATAAAAACCAACCCTTTTGCTTTAATGCCTCTGAATCCTTACTCAGTGCCCAAAAACAACTACAAAAAAAGTAGCACCCTTTGTGTTTAGTTTTGTTTAAAAAGAAATGCCATCAGGTTTTCTTCATATTGTCTAATAAAAATAAAGGGTGTTTAGTACAATATTATAAATAATGGTCTAAAATATTGCAGTATTTGATTTGGATACACGTTGCTCAATAAAGTTTGAGAGAATCTTTAGATTAAAAAAAGTTTGCAGCTTTGAGACATAGGAAAGGAGACCAGGGCGCTACTTTTGAATTTTTGACCAGGTGAGAGAGATGCTCAGTTTCTTCTTCTTTCATGTGATTATTAGATTTTGTTTGTCTGTAATTTTTTGTTTTTGCATTCTGAGTTTTATTTGAAAAGATGTAGTTTTTGTGGTAATAATATAAATCATGACATCATTTTTCTTGTCTTGTAATGCAGTCTTCACGAGGTTGTGTCAGATTTCATTTTTAAAAAAAATCCCAACTTTATCCATATATTTTAAGTTTTTTTTTAATGTTTTTCCTCCACACTGTTCTCGCATCACTTCTATACTTACAACATTCTGAAGATCTTACAGAGAGACCCTAAGTGTTTTAATTCTACCAGTAAACTAGATTCCAGCTTTGGAGACGAAGTCACTTTTTTCTCTTTCTCTCAATTTTATGATCATTACTTTCTCTTTTTGAAAGTTTTCTTACTTGTTTTTTTATTGCTAAAAAAACCCATCAGTGCTTTGACGTTTCTCTCTATAAAGATTTGCTAGCTAGCTAGCTGCTTGCTAATTCTCTCATGTTTTCTCGCTTCAGATTCTAGGGAAAGAGACAGAAAAAGAATGCAGCTTCTATTGTTGTTTTTCCTCTTAACTAACTCACCTTGATTTGTTTCTCTCATTTGGAATATTTTTGGTGGTTATATTTTTCTTGCCTTAGTTTCGATCTTTAAGAGATGGGCAAAGCTGCAAGGTGGCTGAAGGGTTTATTAGGCATGAAAAAGGAGAAAGAAAAGGATAGTAAAGACCAAAATTCATCAAATTCGTCCGTTTTATACGATAAAAAAGAGAAGAAAAGGTTGAGTTTTGCCAAGTCAATTAAGGGTGTTGATGAAATTCCTCCTAGTCCAAGGAATGTTTTTACAAGTATAGACGGTGGTGCTTGGCTGAGATCCTACGTTGCTGAATCTGAGAATGATCAAAACAAGCATGCAATTGCGGTGGCAACAGCCACCGCAGCTGCAGCGGATGCCGCCGTAGCGGCAGCAAAGGCGGCAATGGCGGTGGTGAAGCTAACTAGCAACGGAAGAACCTCTACATTCGGCAGAGGGAGGGAAAGGTGGGCGGCTATGAAAATTCAAACCATGTTTAGAGGCTATTTGGTAAGTACAGTTTTTTTGGTAGTTGGATTATACATTCTTTTTCAAGTATGTTTACCTTTTGGTCTGTGTTATGTAGCTGTTTGCTCCAAAATGTATTTCGGAATCATAAAGAAAAATATAGATTCAAAACGGCAATGAAACAGAAACGTTTTAGATTAAAAAATAGGTGTCTTATCTTTGCTCAATGTAACGGTACTTGTGCTGCTTCTGATTGACTAAAGGCCAAAATTCTCATTCCTCCTAGCAACTGGTAGACCCCAGATGAAGTGTGGTCTATAAATCAATTGGATTCAAGTGTTTTTGCTTTTAGCCTGCAGATTTTGAAATTTGAATTTAAACATCCTGGACTGGTTATCATCATTTATTTGTTCAACCAAGCATTGAAGTTGATAACTTTGGTTGAAATCTAATTTGGGTTCTGTCCTTTCAGTCTCGGAAAGCGCTTAGAGCTTTGAGAGGGCTGGTTCGATTACAAGCTCTGGTTAGAGGCTATCTTGTAAGAAAGAGGGCTATTGCAACTTTGCACAGTATGCATGCTCTTCTAAGAGCACAAACATCAGTTCGTTCTCAGCGGCTTCGTCGCTCCTTCAACAAGGAGAATTCGTATTGTCTCGAAAACAGGAATCGGAAATCCTTTGTAAGCAGAAGCACCATTTGTCGATCCGTTTTCCGTCACTCGATATTTGGTTATAGTGTTCTTTTTATTTTCAGGAACGATTTGATGAACCAAGAAGTGAAATTCACAGCAAAAGACTGTTTGCATCAATGGAAACCAGTGCATATGATGACAGCCCCAAAATTGTCGAAATTGATACATTGAAGACAAGATCAAGGTCACGTAGGTTCAACCTCAATGCATTATCAGAATGTGGGGATGAATTGCCATACCAGACAATATCATCGCCTCTTCTATGTCCGGTTCGAGCATCAACACCCAATCATAGAAATGTTAATGATTTCGAATGGTGTTTTGCTGGCAAGGAATGTAAGTTTTCTACTGCTCAGACCACTCCTCGTTTCGGTAATACCAACTGGACGTTGAACGCTCCTACTACACCATTGAGTGTGTGCGGGGAAAGATATTTTAGACAACCTTACTCGAACCTCCCGAACTATATGGCAAACACACAATCTTTCAAGGCCAAGTTAAGATCTCTCAGTGCCCCAAAGCAAAGACCAGAGCCAGGAGCGAAGAATAGACCTTCCCTCAGTGAAATAATGGCAGCGAGGAACAGCATGAGTGAAGTTCGAATGAACAAGCCATGTTATCAAGTTGATGAAACTTTGGAATTTTGATAGAGAAATCCCCGGTTTCACAAGTCTTGTCGTAGTAATTTGTTTGCCGTGGCAATTATTAGGAGAATTCGAAGTTGAACATAGTGTTGTTCACTTTGTTACAAACAAAGCCATAGATAGAAAAGAGTGCTTGTGTAAATTCTTCCGATGAATGATTTTCTTTTCCATTTAAGACATTGCTTATTTATGTCGGCATTCGTTTTATGTGATCGTGTCATATATAACATTAAACCAGGCTCCCTTCAAGCATTTCGCTGGAGCTAATGTAGACTTCCACATAGGCTTTTGCTTTTCACAAGATTTCACAGTATCAGAATATGGGGAACCATGTTTAACCGGAGTTCATAATATATTCATCACTAACAAAATTCATTATTAACTAAATAAAATTTAGATGCAAATAACAATGGCAAGAACCGGAAGGCATCTATAATATGCTGAAAAAATATTTTGGAAAGAGAGAACTTGGGATATGGGGAAGATGATCGTCGAAAAGAATCGAAGATAGATATGAAGCACAACTGCCCATCTTCCCCAAATCAGTTTTGCAGTTTCGAACAGCGTGCACTGGAAAATTTGCACAACGTCGATACTATTCCTGCTCCGCTCAAACCCCATGCATGAATGTAAATACTTTGTTAAAAACATAAATTTTAAGAGGAAATTTTTATGACACAGAGAGGGTAGGAAATGTTATTTCACATCGCGGCTTGCTTTGGGTTTCCTGCTTCTGTATGTGTATTTATAGGAGATGAGTTAGGGTTTTAGCTTGTACAACCTTTATTTTAAGTTGCCGTTATGCCCCTTCGCCTAGCGCCCCTAATTCCCCTCCCTTTTATCATTGTGTTACATCTTCAGCTATAGGCCTAGCGCCCTAACTCTAATATTTATCATTGTGTTACCTTTTTTTCGTTAACAAAATTAAATCTAAACTTACTTTATACGTGGAGTAAGTACATTTGATTTTTTTTTTGTTCCGCTCCCTATTCCAAGATTTCGTCTTAATTAATTTGAATCGATTCACGTTGCACACATAGTTTTGGTGGGTGAGTCTCCTATCAAGAATTTTCTATATATACAAGGACTCGAACTTGAGACATTGCTTAAGCGATATCAAGCTGCTTACCATTTGAACCAACTCCTGTGGGTAGTAAGTACATTTAATTGAACTAGGTTGTCAAATTATTTATCTTTATTCTCTTATGTTTTCTTAGATCATGAATCTTAGACTCACTAGGATCACTTTCCTTCTTTTTTCTTCTTCTAGAATTTACCGAAATATTACACAAGTGTATAAATTATATTATTAGAATTCTTCATAAGGGGCACCTGCAAATTCTTCATGTCAAACTAATTATTTAAGCTTGAAATTATTTCAATTCCATTAAAGTTCAGAGTACTTTGCTCATTTGTTCATTAGAGGTTAATTTCACCACTAAAGAAAGTCTTGGGCTTTTTTCAGTATAAGGGTATTTTCGTAATTTATTCTTTAGGGCTATTTTAGGTAACATATTATCCAAATATTCTCGGTATTTAACCTTAAAAGAAACCAATCAAAATTTACGGATCTTGAAGTCAATTTAGTCATTATTGAATCACCCAGCTTATTATTATTATTATTATTATTATTATTATTATTATTATTATTATTATTATTTCCGATTGATTTTCCACTTTCTTAAGCTAGCCATATAAATCATATCCGGTTACTGACATTTTATAGTATTTCAATCAAGTTAGGAAATAATCACTACATACACGTGACCAATTAAACTTACCTATGTAGGAAACCATACTAACATGTTCCATAAAGCATGAAACAGATAGTACTGTATTTCATCAATTTTCATGTCATACTGACGACGACAACGGCGACAATAGGTGGCGAATCCGGTCGGGTTTTGATCGCTCGGAGTTGGGGATCCTAGGGTGGCGGTGAGAATAGACAACGACGGAGGCGACCGGAATTGATGGAAAACAATGGCGCTCCCGACGAAGCTTCAGACAATTATTCTCGACGTTTCACGACGTTGTTCGGTGCGGGGAGACTCGGGTTTTGGTCGCCGGCCGAGGGGGAGTCGAACGGAGGTAATGGAACGGTCTACGGTGGTCGGACGACGAGGGATTGGCCATGGAAGGAGACCGTTGGGGAGATGATAAATTTGGGGGTAAAATTAGGGATTTGGGATTTGGGGGGAGGGTTTACCCAATCCGATTATTATATTTTTACTAGATAATAAAAATGGGAAAATTCATGCTATAGTCCCTAATTTCTCCTGCACTTTCCAAAACTGACTTCCAGTTTTAGAAACTTATAAATTGACCCCTAAATCGAGGTGTGACATAGATAGCAGCAGAGGTGTTTTGAATTGGAAAGTAAGACCTGGCTAGCCCTGGAAGCAGCACAAGGACTACTGTATTTGCACCAGGATTGCGCACCGTCTATAACCCACAGAGATGTGAAGTGCAGCAACATATTGTTAACTGAAAGCCTGCATGCCAAGCTCTCTGATTTCGGGTTGTCCAAAGCTTTTCCATCGTTACTGGAGTTGCTGGTACCCCAGGATACCTTGATCCCGAGTAAGTGAATCCGGTATCGACACTCACTTGAGTAATTCCATTAAAAATATCTTCGAATAAATTTAAATCATAAATCTATTATTAAATAGGATTTGTTTTTGTTAACTGGTCTTATGAAATAATGTTTGGCATGCAGGTATTCTACTTCGAATAGGTTGACGGAGAAAAGCGATGTCTACAGCTTCAGGGTAGTCCTTTTGGAGATCGTTACGAACCAACAAGTGATTATGAAATCGTATGAGCAGACTACACATATAAGCCAATGGGCTAGTTTGATGTTATATAATGGTGATATCAAAAGCATAGTTGATCCAAGATTGCAAGGAGATTTTGACATTATCTCAATGAAGAAAGCAGTTGAACAGGCATTGGCTTGCGTTTCTCAAACTTCGATGAAAAGGCCATCGACCAACTACGTTGTGGCGGAGTTAAGTGAGTGTTTGTCGACTGAGGTCGAAAGGATCCGACAGCACAACATTCAGTTGGCTCCAACTGGAAGTAATTCCCTCCCCTAGGCAGACGGGATTATGCAAAATCTATTAGCTTAAACAGGGCTATTTAACTATGAGTTTGACTTTTCTTCATCTTCACACACACACACACACACACATATATATATATATATATATATATATATATATATATATATATATATATATATATATATATATATATATATAACAATAGGAAAGTGTGAAATATATTAATCTGTACAAAACATGGAAGACAGACTCTGGTAGATGAATTGAAGAGTATGTTGAGTATAATGTGGAAGAAAAAAATGGAAGGAAATGTTAATCATGGAAAATTTGGAGTATATTAGAGACTGGGAGAGTTAACCTTTTTGGTCATGAAATAGTTAATACACGATAATATTTTTTCCCTGTTTTGTCGTTCATTTTCTTTTTGATACCTTAACGGACATCGTCCGAGTCATTCCTTCTATTCTCACCTTTTATTACTTTCAAATTCGACTTGTTACATTCATTTTGTTATATACAAGTAGATGATCAATAGGTTGATATTCGAACCAACAACAGAAGTATTCAAGCTATCAATATCAAACCACTTGAAGGATAAGACAGATGGTCAAAGGAACAAATCCAAATGATATTCGTTATAGAAAATGTTGAAATGTGCAGAAAATTGGTTCAAGTTAGGCCCCTAATATTGCAATGTCAAAATTAAGTGCAACAATATCAAAATTAGGTGCAATAATGTTTGAAAATTAAATGGGTAAATTATAAACTTTAGTCACTAAACTTTAAGGTATTTATAAGATTAGTCCTTAAGTTTCAACTATAAATACCCTAGCTCATTTAGCTTCAAAACAATCCCAAAGCATTCTAGCTTTCTTCCAATACTAAAGAGAATTTATAGAGTTTCTTGAGAGTTGTTTTCTCATTTTTATCAAGAGAGAATTATCATTGTTTTCTCCTTGGTAGATCGAGAGAGGTTGTAATTCCTATTTTCTCATAGTGAAATTCTTCTACCGTTGCCCGTGGTTTTTACCCTAAATTTTTAAGGGTTTTCCACGTAAATTGTGTGTATCTTTTATCTTCATTTTTATTTTCTCAAATTATCAGTTGCGATTTTGCTCTATCCGATAGCCGTCTTCCGCAACAATTGGTATCAGAGCTAGATTAGAGTGTGTAATATCTGCTTATTGTCTTTGTGGTTGCCACCAAAAGGTGGATCCTCCAAACATAAGAAAATAAGAAGTTATTACCCATTCTTTGAAGGTTTTAGAGAACTATTCACGATAGTGAAATAGTGGGAGCTATCAATAATAGAAGCTATGACAACAAAATTTGATATTGAAAAATTCAATGGGAGAAATTTCTCACTGTGGAAATTGAAGATGAAGGCCATCCTGAGGAAAGACGGGTGTCTAGCTGCTATCAATGAAAGGCCGATGGATTTCACAGATGACAACAAATGGAACGAGATGGACGGAAATGCTATGGTAAACTTTCATCTAGCATTAGCAGATGAAGTATTGTCAAGCATCGAGGAGAAGAAAACAGCTAAGGAGATATGGGATTATCTCACCAAATTGTACGAGGCCACATCGTTGCACAATAAAATTTTCCTTAAGAGGAAATTGTACATTCTTCGGATGTCAGAATCTACTTCAGTGACGGAGCACTTAAACACACTGAACACTTTATTTTCTCAGCTTACATCCTTAAGCTGTAAAATAATAGAACAAGAACGTGCTGAACTTCTACTTCAAAGTCTACCGGATTCGTATGATCAACTCATCATCAACTTGACAAACAATAATGTCACCAGTCTAGTCTTCGATGACGTTGCAGCTGCTGTTCTACAAGAAGAAAATCGATGCAAGAACAAGGAAGACAGACAAGTAAATCTGCAACAAGCAGAAGTGTTGACAACGACGAGAGGGAGATCAACAGAACGTGGCCAAAGCAGCAGTCACAAACATGGTAGATCAAAGTCGAGGAGCAAGAAGAATTTAAAATGCTACAACTGTGGAAACAAGAGTCACTTGAAGAAGGATTGTTGGAGTCTAAATAAAATCTCCAATCCACAAGGCAATACCGCAAACACTTCAGATGATGGAGATGTTCTATGCTGTGAAGCGTCAACCACCGTGGAAGGCAGAAAAAGATTTGCAGATATATGGCTCATTGATTCGGGAGCGACATATCACATGACCTCAAGAAGAGAATGGTTCCATCATTATGAACCTGTCTCAGGAGGATCTGTGTATAGTTGCAATGATCATGCCTTAGAGATCATTGGTGTGGGAACCATCAAATTGAAGATGTATGATGGAACAATTAAAGTTGTTCGAGATGTGCGGCACGTGAAAGGTCTGAAGAAAAATTTATTATCCTACGGATTGTTGGATAATAATGCTAGCAAGATTGAAACACAGAAAGGAATCATGAAGGTGTTCCGTGGAGCGCTTGTGGTGCTGAAAGGTGAAAAGATAGCTGCAAACTTGTACATGCTGAAGGGAGAGACATTGCTAGAAGCAGAAGCCTCTGTTGCCTCATGTAGTTCAGATTCTGCAATGCTATGTCATAAGAAACTTGGACACATGTCAGAACAAGGAATGAAAGTCCTTGTGGAGCAAAAGCTACTTCCAGGCTTAACAAAGGTATCACTTACTTTATGTGAGCATTGCAAAACAAGTAAGCAGTACCGGTTGAAATTCAACACATCAAATTCTAGAGGCAAAAGTGTTCTAGAACTGGTTCACTCTGACGTATGGAAAGCACCAGTTACATCCCTAGGTGGAGCAAAATACTTTGTCTCATTTATTGATGACTACTCTAGGAGATGTTGGGTGTATCCTATTAAGAAGAAGTCAGATGTTTTTCAACTTTTAAAATCTTCAAAGCGCGGGTTGAACTTGATTCTAGAAATAAGATCAAGTGTTTCAGAACATATAATGGAGGAGAATACACAAGCGAAGAATTTGATGACTTTTGCAAGAAAGAAGGCATCAAAAGATAGTTCACAGTGGCGAACACTCCTCAACAAAATGGAGTGGCAGAACGGATGAACAGAACCTTGTTAGAAAGAACAAGAGCAATGTTGAGGGACGCAGGCCTAGAAAAATCATTCTGGGCAGAAGCAGTCAATACCGCCTGTTATTTGGTGAATCGAGCTCCATCAACTGCAATAGAGCTGAAGACACCAATGGAGATGTGGACTAGTAAACCAGTTGATTATTCAAACCTCCATGTATTTGGAAGTATTGTGTACGTGATGTACAACGCCCAAGAAATTTCAAAGCTGGATCCAAAATCCAGGAAATGCAAATTCTTGGGGTATGCTGATGGAGTAAAGGGGTATCGCTTGTGGGATCCCACTGCCCGCAAAGTGATCATTAGTAGGGATGTTATCTTTGTAGAAGATAAACTACAAAGAAAAGAAGACGATGATAGCGCTGAAAAGTCATAGACTACTCAGATACATGTGGAAAAAGAGTTTGAAGAAGGAGATTCTTCTGAAGCAGAACCAACACATGATGAACAAGAACCAGAGAGTTCTGAAGCTCCAACAACTCGTCAATCAGATCGTATGAGAAGACGTCCCAATTGGCACTCAGATTATGTTATAGAAGGTAATATTGCATACTGCCTTTTAACAGAGGACGGTGAGCCATCAACATACCAGGAGGTAATAAACAGCTCAGATGCTTCACTGTGGATGATGGCGATGTAAGAAGAAATCGAAGCCCTTCATAAAAATAATACATTGGACCTTGTGCCACTACCACAAGGAAGGAAGCCAATTGGTAACAAATGGGTTTTCAAAATCAAGCGAAATGGTGACGATCAAGTGGAGTGGTATCGTGCAAGACTGGTGGTCAAAGGATATGCTCAGAAAGAAGCTAGATGTTAAAACAGCTTTTCTTCATGGAAATCTTGAAGAAGAGATTTATATGCTCCAGCCTGAAGGTTTTGAAGAAGACGAAAAGAAGAACTTGGTTTGCAGGTTGAACAAATCTCTGTACGGTCTAAAGTAGGCGCCGAGGTGTTGGTATAAGAGATTTGATTCCTTCATTATGTGCCTTGGATACAACAGACTTAATGCAGACCCTTGTGCTTATTTCAAGAGGTCTGGTGATAACGATTTTGTTATGTATGTGGATGACATGTTGGTTGCAGGACCCAACAAAGATCATATTGAAGAATTGAAGGCACAACTGGCTAGGGAATTTGAAATGAAGGACTTGGGATCAGCAAACAAGATTCTAGGGATGCAAATTCACCGAGACAGAAGTAATAGGAAGATTTGGCTTTCACAAAAGAATTACTTGAAGAAAATCTTGTCACGATTTATCATGCAAGATTGTAAGCCAATTTCTACCCTTCTTCCTATTAACTTCAAATTATCCTCCTGTATGAGTCCTAGCAGTGAAGAAGAGAGGATGGAGATGTCTCGAGTACCGTATGCATCAGCAGTGAGAAGTTTGATGTTCGCTATGATATGCACAAGACCAGACATTGCACAAGCAGTGGGAGTGGTTAGTCGGTACATGGCGAATCCAGGCAAAGAGCATTGGAATACAGTAAAGAGGATCCTGAGATACATCAAAGGGACCTCAAATGTTGCATTATGTTACGGAGGATCAAACTTACTAATCAATGGGTATGTAGATTCTGACTATGCAGGGGATTTGGATAAAAGCAAATCTACTACAGGATATGTGTTCAAAGTTGCTGGTGGAGCTGTAAGCTGGGTTTCAAAATTGCAGTCAGTTGTGGCTACGTCAACAACAGAAGCAGAATATGTAGCAGCTACACAAGCCAGTAAAGAAGCAATTTGGTTGAAGATGCTATTGGAGGAGCTTGGGCACAATCAAGAGTATGTCTCTCTATTTTGTGACAGTCAAAGCGCCTTGCATCTAGCAAGGAATCCAGCATTTCATTCAAGGACAAAACACATACGAGTTCAGTATCATTTCATTCGTGAAAAGGTGGAAGAAGGGACAATAGATATGCAGAAGATCCATACCAAAGACAACATAGCAGATTTCATGACGAAGGCGATAAACGCTGATAAATTTACCTGGTGTCGATCCTCTTGTGGCCTGTCAGAGACGTAAGCAACATGATGGTCCAAGGTAGAAAGAATGGTGTGAAGATATGATTGTTCCAATCAAATCTTCAAGTGGGAGATTGTTGAAATGTGCAGAAAATTGGTTCAAGTTAGGCACCTAATATTGCAATGTCAAAATTAGGTGCAACAATGTTTGAAAATTAAATGGGTAAATTATAAACTTTAGTCACTAAACTTTAGGGTATTTATAAGATTAGTCCTTAAGTTTCAACTATAAATACCCTAGCTCATTTAGCTTCAAAACCATCCCAAAGCATTCTAGCTTTCTTCCAATACTAGAGAGAATTTAGAGAGTTTCTTTAGAGTTGTTTTCTCATTTTTATCAAGAGAGAATTATCAATGTTTTCTCCTTGGTAGATCGAGAGAGGTTGTAATTCCTATTTTCTCATAGTGAAATTCTTCTACCGTTGCCCGTGGTTTTTACCCTAAATTTTTAGGGGTTTTCCACGTAAATTGTGTCTATTTTATCTTCATTTTTATTTTCTCAAATTATCAGTTGTAATTTTGCTCTATCCGATAGCCGTCTTCCGTAACAGAAAATGTTTATGCTGTCATTAATTTAAAATGATAAACTATAAACAAAGTCTTCGTAAAAATAATTGAAGATACTAAATTTTTTTTACCCATTTTATATTATTATTATAATTATTATTATAATTATTATTATAATTATTATATATATTATTATTATTAAAATAAATAAATAAATAATTACAAACAGGCCTATATTATCTGGCCCAATTACAAATGGCCCAACTAAACCCTAACAGATTAGGGTTTGATCTAACCCTAGCCGCCTCATCATCTCAGCCGTTGGATATGAGAGATCCAACGGCCCACACTCCTCCAGATGCAAACCCTAGGGTATGATACCCTAGGGCCACGCGGCCGCTGCAGCTGCTCCCACCATCTCCACCGCTGCCACGCCTTGCTGAAGACTCCAGAAGCTTTGCTGCTTCAACACCCGCCGCCCACGTTGCAGGCTCTAGGGGTGAGTCACCACATAGTTCGGTGACTCACCGAAATCCATCCTTAGGATCGGTCCGAGACAAGCGCCGGTGATGGCTATAAAGCCATCACCCAACCTGCAAAGACAAAAGACGGAGAACAACAACAAACAGAAAAAAAAGAGACAGAGAAAGAGATACGAACAACTAGAGCAAGAACTACAGACACGAGAGCAAATCAACACCCAACAACAACCAAATAATGAAGGAAAAGAGGAAATGAGACTTACCAAGGGAACTGCCGTCATCAGAGCCTCCCTACGTCTTTGAAACCGAAAGGTCGAAGGTAAAGAACCTTAGATCTACATATTTTGGTAATGATCTAGGTTAAAATACCCACGGATTTGGCTTTAGGGAAAGCAGGGCTTCGATTTAAGGTATATATGTAATTTTTCGGCCACCATTAACGGTGGCCGACGGTGGAGACCGACACCGGAGTACGGTGTCCGGCGACTGTCGGAATTCCTCCGGTTGGAGGAAAATAGAGAGAGGCGAGAGAGAGTTATAAAACTCTCTCTGTTTGACAGAGAAAAGAAAGGAAAAATGGGGAAGCTGGCCCGAAGGGCCAGCCGTTTGGGACTTAAATAGCCCTCCCCAAACGACGCCGTTTTCGGGAGGGGTTTGTCTGTAATTAACTAAAGGTTAAAACCTTTCCGCAGCCATCCTAACTTGTAATCTTTACATTTTAGTCACTAAATCAATTTATAATCCTTTTAATTCGGTTCTTTAATTTTAATTTTATTTATTTTAATCCTTTCTATTAAATAATATATTTAGGATAAATACGTATTTAGTCCTTTAGTTTTAATAAATAATATTTTAATCCGGAGTATATATTTTTAATTTATTTTAATCTGATATTCTAATTTTTTATAATTTTATTTTAGTCACTAAATTAATAAATAAGGAAAATAGCATGTTTAATCCCTATAATTTTAAATAATTAATTACAAATTAAGTATTTAATTTTATTAGATTAGAATTTAGTCACTAATTTTAAATATTTTCATTTATTTTACTGCTTTTAAATATATAGTTCTAATTGTATTTTTATTGTTTTAATTTTACTTGTTTATATATTTAAATATTATTTTTATTATTATTATATAGTCATATAAATATAAATATAAATATGTATATAATAAATAATAATTTATATTTTTTATATAAATTATTTTAATATTTATTTATTTATTTTTCAATATTAAAGAAAAGGGCAGTCTTAATACAACTGGATGTCCTATTCTGATATTTTAAAAATTAAAAATTATAAAAAATTATAATTTAATTTTATTTAAATTATTATATTAATATTTATTAATATCGAAGAAAAGAGCTGTCTTAAGGCACCTAGAAGTCCTTTTCTGATATTTCTAAATAAATAAATATTTTATTTATAAATATATATAAATTATTTTTTCTCATAATTATAATTTTGAAATAATAGGATTATGAATTAAATATATCTTTGAATTTTTAAATTTCTAATAATAGAGACAATTTATAATTAAAAAGTACCAATTTTGGGCGTTATAGGGGTGCTAATCCTTCCCTAAACGTAACCGACCATGAATCCCTTTTTATTATTAAAAAGAACGAATTTTTGGTTATAAACGCAAATCAGTTCATCTTTTAACTGATGTTTTCTTAAAACTTTTTTTAAAAGATAATTTTTAGGTATTCGACCTACCTAACCCAAAAGGCCGATATCGACTCCCAAATTATTTTAAAAACTATTTATTCACATCAATTTTCCCGCCAAGTAAAAAATCCGTGCCCGGACGAAAACCGGTTACGACAGCTTGGCGACTCCACTGGGGACTGGTCAAACTTTTAAAATTAATTATAAATTGTCTCTATTAATTATAAATTAAAAATTCATATATTTAATTTATAATTCTTTCTTTTCAAATTTTTTATATACTTATTATTTTCATAGTATTTATATATTTTCTTATTAATATTTCATTTTATTTGCAAGTATTTTATTTCATTATTTATTTTTTTTCTGTCTAAGGTTTGAACATTTCTCCTCACATACAACACTTGCATGGCATAACATAAAGCTCTATAATTGAGTTTGTCCCTTTTAAGTGGGAGTGAAAGCGACGTCTTCGTGAGAATTTATTCTCCGTGTCAGACCTAACAAGTAACTTTCAGGGTTCATATGCTCTATGTCTTCATGAGAATTTATTCTCCGTGTCAGGCATAGAGAAATGTATCCCCTCGAATTGAACTCGATCCACTTTAGTCTGTGATAGACTAAGATTGAGGGTTAACAGTCCAAGGGGGCACTAACAAGGACAATTCGGGTACCTTTATTCTTAGATCTGAAACCTTGCATATAATAAACCCTAGAAACTCTTCCGATCTGAAGCCATGCCGAAATTTTGTCCAAAATAGGTGTACACATAGGAGAAATGAATTCTAACTTTCCTTTTTATTTATTTATTTTCTTACTGGTTAAATTACATGCAAATTTAAATTTTTTAATAATTATGAAAAAACATGTTTAAATAAAGATATTTAGGTAGATATTATTATTAAATTTCTTTATTATGTAAACTAATTCATTTTTTTTGTGTGTTCTTTATTTCTTCTGTTTGCATAGCATCATACAGGATAAAAGGCATTGATCCTCGTGTTAATTGTCTCATTGGAAAGCCTTCATCCATGGATAAAAAGTGTTCAAATCAAATAATTCTAAACTCAGAAGTAAGACAGTGGGCTGAGGACTTACAAAGACAAGGAGGAGACAGTCTGCAAGATGATTATGTATCGGACTTGGCCAGTTATGCTCCAGTTTCACTAAAAAGAAATGATATGCAAGATTTGCGAAGCATTTGGGAAAGTTGGGACTCAAACAAAAAGTTGCAGTTTTATCAGACTTATGGAGATATCCCATATTTGCTCTATGTCGAAGTTGATGATGACTTACTTCGAGCCCTAATTCAATTCTGGAATCCAGGGTACAATTGCTTTACTCTCAATAAGGAGGACTTGGTCCCTACTATTGAAGAGTACACAACTTTGCTACATATAGAAGGGGCTTTGGAGAATCGAATTTATTCAAAGTCAATTAAAACTCAACCCTTTCGAGTTAAATTAGCAAAGATTGCCGGAGTACGAGAAGAATGGGTGGCATCCCATACAAAACAAAAAGGCGAAAGCGAAGGCATTGCTTGGACCAACATTAAAGAACTTATTCAGAGTCATCCAGACACTAAAGTACGATTCGATCTATTTGCTCTGGGTATGTATGGTATGGTCATCTTCCCAAAAGTATTGGGATATATTGAAGCTACAGTAGTAGATTTGTTTGAGCAGCTACCAAAAAAGATTAATCTTGCT